AAAATTGAAAATTATAAAATTATGTCTACCCAAGACTTTTACCGGTATCTGCTAAAATTTCCCGTTTCCTCGTACTGCTCTAAAAAAACAGACTGTAAAATTTGTGTTTTCAAATGTAAATTGCGTACCTACGAAAAAAGAAGGAAAAGGTTGCATTTTGAGTATAACATTGTTTCTACCGTCGATGCCTGAATATATCCTTTTGAATCATGGTCTAATGAAAAAAGTACTTTTAAGAAATGTTAATATGTATTCCACTTATTCAACGCCATTTAGATAGACGGATTTTTCTCCTTTATCAGAGTTATGATCTGTACTATGGAGATATAGCAATCCTCTTGATTTGTTGGTCCATGCCAAACATTTCAGTAGCTGTAAAGCTGCTTGTGAATGAAAGGGTTTGTCCAGGGTAGGACTGCCACCTTACCTATTTCTGGCACCAAGCAGTAATGTCAGCATTACTGTGTCCGGTTTTGCTTTCAAATTACCCTTGTAAGGGTGCTGGTGAAATTACAGGCACGTGGGACTTGTCAACTTATGTCTCAGGGTGACTGATTTTGCTTTGGGGTAATGCCGCCGATATCAATAGAATCTTTGTCCTGCAGAAACGTGCAGTTAGGGTAATTTACATTCTGGGCCCCAAAGTATCTTTGAGAGATAAGTTTAAGGAAATTAACACACTTACACTAGCCTCACAGTACATTTATGAAAATGTAATTTATGTTAAAAGGAATAGTAATTTATTTATGAAAAATAGTGACAGACATAACATTAATACGAGGAATAGAAATAAACTAGCTTTTCTTGATAGTCATCTTCACAAAGTCAAAAAATCATTTAAGGGGCAATGTATACGCTTCTATAACAAGATTCCGGTTGATATACAAAATTTGCCTTTCACGAGGTTTAAAACTATAGTGAAACAAAAACTTTATACTAAAGGTTTATACAACTTCTGCGTACTTGGATGACAAAAATCCGTGGTAGTAACCCGTTTAGCTCATGGAGGTAGTCTCGATCTCTGATGTCTCTGATGTACAATATTAAATGTTATTTACAAGGAGCAACCCCTAGAGTTTCTTGCTCATTCTTCTCAGGGGAATCTGCCTTACGAATGAGCGGTAGAGTTTAACCATTGTGACGATTTCAAGTGTAATAATGCTTACCTATGAAATAAAGATTATTTTGAATTTGAATTTGACGGGCGCAGTGGCAGTGCCCCTCAGATCTTTGCGATTTAAAGCTCTGAGTGGCACTGCAACTGTTATGGACAGGCGTGTTACCATCAAGCGCACGACTCGTTCATCCCGTCACTTGATATTATAAAAAATACGGAGAAAAGTTATATTCGGGTCCATTGGGAAACCGGACGATACGATTAAGTTAATAGTAGCACTATAAGATTATGTCGTATTATGTCGTTATAAGTTACGACAGTCAATGAGGTCCATAAACAGTGATATTAAATAGTTTTGTGTTATGTGATGATATTTTTGTCTGCTTTTTGTCGATATTTTGTACGTAATTAAAAGTACAGTGAATGAGATGATTATCTATTTATTACAGATGAGATAACGTCGTCGTTCCGACGGTTCGGACCTCTAGTGGTCGACTGGCCGCATAAGGCTGAGAGCAAGAGCTACTTCCCGCCCAAGGGCTACGCGTTCCTGCTTTTCCAGGTATGTTACTACTTTCTTTTCCTGTCGTATACAAATGACTGGAGAAAACGACAACTATAGAACTTTCCTCTTTCGATACAACCTTGTATTCTCCTGCAGAGGTTGTTTTTTTACTTTGCAAGCATATGGAAGACAATACATGACATTGTATTTTTCGCGATACAGGCTGTTCAACGCAAAAAATATCTTCGCTAATTCAATCTTCTTCTTCAAGTGCCTCTCCATTATTGAAAGTCGGCAGTCAGTTTTCTATAACTTTCTTTGTCCAGAACAGTTGTTCCTCTGTTGTCTCCCTAATGTCACGAAACCGTGACATTTTCCTTTTTTTATAATATTTTAATTTATTTAAAAATAAATTAATTTTGCTTCTTACGATCTTCCGCTTCCCAGTTACTTTGCCCATCAATATAGTGTGCAATAGGTGATATCTGTCATGTCGCAGTCCATAACCCAAATAGGCAATCTTCCGCTGTTTGACAGTGCGTACCAACTCCACCTTCTTCGCCATACGTTTAAGGACCTCGACATTCAGGACTTTGTCCGTCCAACTGATGCGGAGCATTCTACGATAGCACCACATTTCGAACGCTTCAAGTTTCTTCTAGAGGTCTTCTTTTATGGTCCAGGATTCACATCCATAAAGAACGACTGGCCAGATATAGCACTGCAAGAGCCTAGTGCGGAATCTAATGAAGACAGGAAAATTAGACTCTAGCGCAGTCGGTAAAACACCTTTTTCAGTACGCAAAACACTGATAGAAGACCTACCTGATGGAGACGACGAATTTCTCGAGACTGTGACGCTATTAAATTGGTATTAAAGGGTCTGTTGTCAATGATTTCAGGACGAAAGCTCAGTTGCTGCATTAATGGAAGCGTGCATCACAGATGACGACAAATTGTACTTGTGCGTCTCGTCGCCGACCATCCGGGACAAGCCCGTCCAGATCCGACCTTGGCGACTAGCTGACGCAGATTTCGTTCTGGACGCTAGCATGCCTCTTGATCCGCGTAAGACCGTGTTCGTTGGAGGCGTACCTCGTCCTTTGAAAGCTGGTAAGAATATTTTAAAATGACTATACCAAGCTATTTCTGCTCGTGCATCTTTTGACTAGCGATGGGCGATAGGTTACTAAAAATAATCGAATTATTCGATAATAAACATAATCGAAATGATTCGATTGTGGATGTCAATTGCTTACTAATTAGTTACTACACTTCACTTTGTTGATCAAATATAGTAATAGGATTGACTGTTATTAAATTAGTAATAGGTAGTAAACAAGTAATAGGACAATTTTTGGATTTTTTTTACATTCCGTACCATAGAGGAAAATTGAAAGCATATGGCACTTGTCAACTTATGTCTCAGGGTGTCGGGCGCAGTGGTAGTGCCCCTCAGATCTTTGCGATTTAAAGCTCTGAGTGGCACTGCAACTGTTATGGACAGGCGTGTCGCTTACCAGGTGCACGACTTGTTCGTCTTGTCACGGGTGAGAAATTTAATTGCATGAAAAAATTAACGACTTGACCGTGACTGGGTTCATGGAGCAATTTACATTTTTATGAAGCAATCTTTCACTCTGATGGTAAGGCGTCATTCTGCGTTTGCAGTTGAGCTGGCGATGATTATGGACCGGCTGTACGGAGGCGTGTGCTACGCCGGTATCGACACGGACCCAGAGCTCAAGTACCCCAAGGTAAGTCAACCGCACAAAGGTTACGGTACATCACTCTGTCACACGTAATTTGCTACAGTCAGAGATAGAGTTAAAACCCAATGAACCCGTCCGGGCTTTAACCCGGTTATTACCCAAAGCGGCGGATTTCAATCCATTTCTGCCCAAAATCGAGGGCGGAAACGAATGGAACTTTTTTTTAAATTAAACTTACTTGCTCTTGGCGACTTCCTAGCTCTGGAGCAAAGATAGAATCTACAATGGAACGAGCTTGCCCAGAAGATACCTATTCATTTCAGATTCGTCGCTGCAGCCGTAGTAATTTTGTACAAGACTCGATTTGCAACAAATATTTACTTTTTGGGCATTAATGGGTTTTAGCCCGATTTTAACTCGGATTATATCTCCGGATTATAACTCGAACACTTACCCATCTCTGGTTACAGCGTGTCCACGTACCCCGAATACGTATCGATCGCATGTGAAGGTATTTATACGCTTCTCGCCCCGGACATGCTAATACGGGATGGATACTAATTTAATCGTGATTAATAGTACCGATAACCGATGGGGGAAGCGAGTTCTTGAGTGGAGACCACGGCTCGGGAAACGTAGTGTAGGACGCCCTTTGGCCAGATGGAGTGACGATTTGCGAAGGGCTGCTGGCAGCAGATGGATGCAACGACCAGAGGACCAGGGGCAATGGCGCCCATTGGGTGACGCCTATATCCATCAGTGGATTACGATAGGCTGTTGATGATGATGAAAATTAGAATCAAAATCAATATTACAAATATTTTTTTTAGTACGTACAACAAAACTTAGAAATACATCT